AAAAGAAAATAGCAGTTTACCCTAATACCAACAGTAAATGAGAGAGTCCATTTTCTTATACACTCACCGGCACTGGATGTAATCAATGCTTTTAACTATTGCAAGTATGCTGATAACAATGAGTCATTATTGTTTTAATTTGGATTAAAAGACTTTAGTAGCGAGGAGCCAAGATGGCGGATGAGACAAGCCGGCAGTCAGAAGGTCTCTGCAAAAAAGACAAATTTTAGAAGAAAGGGAAAAAAAAATAAGCGAGCAGAGAAACATAGATCAGGTGGGGGTTGGAAGGAAGGGTGCCTGAAACTACAGGAGACTCCACGGGAACACGTTGCAGAGGAGAACTAGAAGTAGAAAGGTCCCGAGAGGCTTGGAGACCAGCGACAAGGGTAGGTGGAGCGGTTAACTTCCCCCTCCCTTGCATCTCGGACTGCTGGTGGCTCCTGAGTGGCTGGAGAGACCTGCCGACACCAGCCCAGAGACGGCTGCCGCCAGTGAGCAGTGGCCCCTTGTGGACTCAGCACTGGGCTCCCAGCCGCTTCAGGGCACCTCCCCGGGCACAGACCCAAGCCTAGCGGCAGACGCCATAGTCTCCATTCTCTCCTTCCCCCTCTCTACTCGTGCATGCCCAGAGAGACAATTTAGCCTTCACACGGAGGCATCTCCAAGGAACGGGACCTTTCCTTTTGGGGCCCTACAGCAGACTGAGGGGTACTCAGACTGCGAGTTCCCTACCCACCAGCCCTCCCAGAAGCTGCTTGCCTGGGGACTCCAGGAGACTGGGGCAAATCCCAAGGTGGAGTGAAATCGATCCAGCTTGGGCACCCTGTAGGTGATTCAAGACCAGCGCCTCTCCCCCTGGCAGGGTCAGGGATTGATCTCCATGGTCCAGGGGTCAGGCCTGAAGATGAGGAGACCCCGTACACTACATCACGATCGCACTGCCCTGGGGCACGGAGGAGAGATCTGTGAAAGAGCCTACTGAGGAGTGTGTGCCTTCAGGGGCCGATCAGTGTGCCTGACCGGCAACCCTCCTCCTAAAAGAGGGCTGCGCACCCAGCTCAGGCTACGATCCTGGGTAGGGAACCTCCTGGCCCACATCACAGCCAGGGGAGATCCATCGGCCTGAGGCCCCGCTTGCTGGCAGAGGCCTGGGAGAGGACACGGAGAGGGTGAGATTGGAGGGGAGTGAGACCTGCTCCAGAGTGCGGGTCTTGGACAGCCCCACCCCCCAAGCCCAGACTTTCAGCTGAGTGGAGCCATTTCAGCCCCTCCCCGCAGCTCTGCACAGAAACAAAGAGCAGAAATTTGACCCCTACTAACAACACCTGTGGAGCCTGAGGGCAGGCTTATCCAACCCAGCCCCACCCAGACTCACTCCCAGTCCTGCCCCCACTGAGGGGGAGAATAAGGACAGCTCAGGCTAC